GTAAAACCACATGCAGGGCCTTTGCACTTGCTGTGCTTTCTCTCTAAATGCTCCTGTCTGTCCCTCAGGCACTCTTCCCCTACTCTATACCTCAGAAATTCATGTGTTCCTGCACTGAGATTTATTTATTTGATTCTCTAGTTGATGTCTATCTCATCCATGAACTTAAACTGCAGGAAAGTAATACTCCCAGTGCCAAGCACCCTGCCTAGAAGAAACAGGCTCCCAAAAGTTGGTTGAGAAAATAACATATGTAAAAGATGCAAGAGATAATTGTGTACAGAATATTAGAGGTCTGTCAGGAAATGTGAAGAAATCACAACCTTGAACCGTGTTATAAAGTGGTCTGGATGGGGTGGATGTAGCTTATTTGAGAAATACTTTCCTAAATTGCTTCAACTCTGAATTTCTACATCTGCACAATAAATAGTCAAATTGAACTTCCTCGGGACTCCAGTGATTCCTACCAGATTTAAATTCCAGGGCACTACCCAGCACTCAGTGTGGGAGATGGGACTGACACAGGAAAATGTTTGTTACTGGCAGGGCAGAAAGCTTTTAAAAATCTGCTGGCAGTCATGTATTAGACTGAATTCTCTAAGAATAATAGTGTATAATATACAAACAAACATAGTTTCCTGGTCTTTATTTCATAGTTCTTCTTTGCTATCATGACATTTTGATCACATCACCACTGCTGAAATTATTCCTTTGCATTCACTTACTAAGTCTCTAAGTTTTGGAGTTCAGTTCTCAGAGGGTGAAGACAAGAGGGAGAAAGAAAAAACTGTATTTTTCTATTAGGGAGAACACAACAAGTCTTTCAGTATCTTACAGTGTCCAAGATTACTTGTAGCTAGGTTTTTATTTTCTCCTACACATTTTTTTACTTTGTCCCAAAAAGGATATAGGGTAACTTTAAAATGCACAGTGATACATGGTTTTAAAAGAAAGTACAAAAGGAATTGTTGAAGAGAGGGACAAAGATGAAGTCACCTCAATGACAAAAGTAAAGTTCAAAACACTCTGCGATCATTAGTGCCTAGGTTTATAGCAACCAGTCGTACTTAAGCACAATTACTGTCAAGGAAGAGAGACCTTAACCCCAAGTTTTCCTCTAAAGGGTGAGCTTGAGCCCAGCAACATTCTTGCACCAAAAGAACCCTGGGTGACTTCTCTCAGCATCCAGGCTAGTACGTTATCATCACTGTGGGCCGTGGAGAATTTCCAGTGCTCTTTTCTCTAAGAGTGATCCTGCAGTAAAGTGACTTCCATACTCAGTTCAAGGCAAACTATGTTTAATGTACAAATACACTGCATATACTATGGGAGGGCAGATGTGCACTTTTTATACCAACTGACACTCTGATGAGTGATATGAGGCCATGAGCTAGAAGTTATCATTACTGAACAATATTCTGTTACTGGTGGCTCAGAGCAGTATCAGAAAGAGAACTGAATGAGAGAACTGAATGCAATTCTGTCAATGAGAAGTTACATCCACACTGTAAAGCAATCAGCAAATTGTCACTGTTTTAACCCCTGTTAATTAGCTTTTAGTTTACTAGTACATGTTTGGAGTACACAATGTTTACACTCCCTATGGGAAGTTGGTGCACGTACACAGCATATCTTAATTTCTTTTTCATCCTCTGTTTCTTCCCTCTCTCCCCTCTCCACCCTCTCTTGACTTAGGGAAGTTTTAGGAAAGAGGATTTGGCTACTTTAGATCAACATTCTTGTGAAAGGACCAAAGGAAATGGGACAGTCATGGAACTGACTTAGGAGACTCAGTCACCTATTCTTAGTTTAGGATATGTTTGTATTATCAAGACCTGAACTGAACTGCAGATGACCCATTTCATAGATTCTGTGATAGACCTTTGGCAACATTTGAGTCTGTTGTCCCAGATTCCACCACTAATGCAGTTTTCACTAGCTGGATTCCATTAGACACCTTGGTTTCTATAACACTGTACACCCATGACTTTCTCCCTGCTTCTCAAAATTCCCCTTTTCCATCTACTTTTCTTCTGCCAGTCATTTAGGTGAAAGTGTTCCTACTGTTTCATCCTACACCCAACTCTTTGCATTCACATGGTCAGGCTTCTGCTGGAATTGAACGGTCACATGCGCTCAAAACTAATCTGTGCGAAATTTAGTTTGTCTGTAAGCCCTCTAGCAACTAGCAGAATTCCTTTTCCTCTGTTTTATTTTCTCAATTAATGATACTATGATCTGCCAAGCCCTTAGGCCAGGAAATTGGGAATCATTTTGACTTTTTTTTTCTTATTTCCCATGCCAAATCATTCACCCAACCTCGTTGAGTCCTCATGTTAAATGGCTCTTAAACTCCCCTACTCATTCATCCCCACGGCTTCTGTGAAACCACCATTGTTTTAGCCTTGGATTACTGTATCTTATAAAGACCAGCCAAATATTGTTTCCTCCATGAGGTCTTTGGAATATCACTCCCTGTTTCTCATCCTCACTCATCTATTAGCGTTGTGCAGAATGATTCAAACATTCTGAAATATTTCAGTTCTCTTAACTTTCTGTTCGAGTTGCTTTCTTGCTTCTTGCTCTGCTCTCCTCCCCCCACCCCTGCATCCTTCCCCCTCACCCTTGTCTAATGCTGTGGCTAACTGACAAGTGACTTCCTGCAGAAAATCTTCCCTGAGTGCCACATCTTGGCTATGTTTCCCTTCTCTAGAAAACCATTGCACTGAATTTCTCTTCCACAACACTTATCACCTTGTATTGCAGTTATGTCTGTACTATTTGAACGTACAGTTCATTTCATTCATTCTTCTTTATATGTTTATTTATGAGTTTATTAAGGAAAGAGCAAACTAAGGGATTAAATCAGTGGCTCCATGCTCTGCTCTGTGCAGGTCATTCAGGAACTGACTTCCGAAAGTTCTTTTATCTTTAGGTGACTTCTCAGCCACTCTGCATAGTACTATCTGCATAGTACCAGTCAAAAGACCTGGAAGGATCATAGGAAACAGATTTTTAAGATCAAGGCCTTGAAATGACAGCTATCAGCCCCACTCAAATTCCACTGAATAGAACATAGCACATGACATCTAACTGTAAAAGGCTAGGAAAGTTAATCTATCTGTGCCAGCAGTAGAGTAGATTTGGAGATCAGCTAGTAGTCTGCCACACTGGCCATTACTCTCACTAAAATGTAAATTTCATGACATCAAAGAAAAACATTGTCTTGCTCTCACTTTATCTTTACCTCTAGATATAACTGTTGATCAATAGATATTTGATGGGCAAATGAAGCTATGAATATCAGTAATCAAATATTGCCTTTTTAAGTGTGTTTTTCCCATCCTGACATTGGCCGCTGCCCATGTAAACTATGCATACAGCATCTTATGCAGCAGCCTGTAGTGTACCTTCCTATGTTTAGCTGTCTTCATAGAGCTACAGTGTAGTAAGTATCTCTTTGAATTTCATTGGTAGACTTCACTGCAGAAATGATTATTATGATCATCTCTTGATATGTACTACTTTGAGATGCATAATCCACAATGTCAATTTATTTTCAACAGACACCTGTATTTTAGAGGTTATTACCCATATCCCCTCTACGTAAGGCATGGATTTCTGCAAAATTTCAGTAACTGGGCAGCTGGGACACTAATTACACTGGCAAAAGTTTCAAGATAAAACAGCCTATTAATCAAAGATTTAAATATTACAGCAGAAACACTAAATCTGCTGGAAAACAGAAAAGGCAGAACTCTTGAATACATAGGTATAAGCAAAGACCATGAACAAAACCCTGATTTTCATGAAATATGACAAAGAGTCAACAGCTGAGCTCACATTTTATTAAAAAGCTTTTGTGCAGAAAAAAAAATCACCAACAGAGTAAAAAGACAACATATAGACTGGGAAAAATATTTTGCCAATTAGACAAAGGAATTCCTTAGACAAAGGAATAATATCTAGAACACAGAAAGATCTGACAAATAACCCTATTAGCTATCATACTATAAGGGTATTGCTAATTTACATATTGCATAGCATCCCTTTTTAAAGATCTAGACCTAAAATTTATTTTAAATTACAATGAAAAAAATAACTGTTTCTCCTGAAAATTGAATTTATTTTATCTTCTGATGGCCATCAATCATATAACACACACTATTTCCTAGCATGTTCTACTAGAAAGTTCAGACCAAATATGAAGCCACATAGAGTACAGAACATCAAGATTTGCATTTTCTGTGCTAAGGCAATTCAAGCTTCCACTGACTTGATATGTTTCTCTAGTTACATTTTCTTTTGTCCTCAGTTTTGCTTTCTACTCACTAGGTTTTCTCTTCTTATATTGCATATTTATGTAAGCCACCTTGAATATGTTTTAGAACAAAGGGGAAATGTATATCACTAAAATATGTTAAAAATTTGTCTTTCAAAGAGACATAAACACGATTTCAATAGAATGTGGTTAGGTGTTTTTCTTCTTCATTAATCTATCATGTTTCATCTTCAGAGGTATTTTCAAGGGAATGTGAAGCAGTCTTTCATTTTGAGAAAGGATCAAATGAGAAAGAGAATAAAAAATGATTGATTATAAGCATGGAGATGACTTTGCAAGCTGAGAATTGAAATAAATATGAAACTGCTTTTAGTATGCAAAAAATATTTTCTACTATTATGAGATTCGCTTTAACATAAATTCTATGAGAATAGAAATTTTGTTGCTATTTCCTCAGCATGAGAACAGGAGACAGTAAAGACACAGAAACAATATGTTTTGAAAGTGAAACATTATACATTTGTACTTGCGTTAGTAGCAAAAATATGAGGATGAAAGAATATCATGGGTTCACTTTTATTATTTATAAAAGAGGATATTAGACTATTTCCACTGAGATTTTTCTATTCTAATGTTTCATACTCTTGTTGAGTCTAGTGATGTAGTTAATCATAAAGACATAAATATCTATAATTTTTGAAATTTACTTTTAAAATAGGATATCCAGCTACATCTTCAGTGGTCCTCATAGATGTGACTACATCAAAACCACACATCCTGCCTCAAAGTGAGTAGAGCAAAGCTTTCTTCACACATTTCAGACACAGCACGCAACGTTCATCACACACAGCCTCCATGACATTGAGATTTGTGTAAAAGTTTATATTTTTCATTTGATGTTGATATTTAGTTTGCGGCTACTCTGTCGTGACCATATATTGATAAACCAATCCCTATAATCTTAAAAATAAGGGTCGATGATCTGTTACTGTAGTGTATCTTTTATTTGTCAAGGGATTTTGAGGTAATAATAATCTTCTCAATGCTCTCAGGGATCTGAGTTGGTGACAAGAACAGAAAGAGCAAATTAGTTACATAAATTGGCATTAAACATAAAGTTTAGAACTTCTATTTAATAACAGCTTGTGTTTCTACACAGAGAAGGACATTTTCAATTTCAGATTTCACCTAAGTCACATAGATTAAAAATTCAGTGCATCAAAGCAAAGTTAAATTCTAGTTTTATTTTAAAAGTTTGACTCTGAAAATAATTTTATCTTCCAGCCAGTAGTGCCAGTATGACTAAGCAAGACGTCAGTGAATCGTGGACCTCCAGTGACACAGATACCAAAAAATGTAAAGTATAACCTGGGCCCCTTAGAATTTGGGGTTCCTTCATTCATTCAACACACACTGCTGTTCATAATCTTTTTTTTTTTTTTTTTTTTGGTCTTTTTCCTTTTTATCGGTACCGGGGATCGAACTCACGAGTGCCTCTTTGTAAGGCAGGCGCTTATGCCGCTGAGCTAAACCCCCAGCCCTCTCTGTTCATAATCTTATTCACTAATATTTGCAGTGCACCTCCCATACTTAAAGCATTTCTGTGCCTTTTAGGAATATATCTGTAAACAAATATAACTAAGCTCCAAATTCTCTTGGAAGACAGAAAATTAGTAAAAATAGATATGAAGAAACAAAGTAGTAAAGGAACACAGAGAGATAAAAATGAAGGGTGGCTGGTATTGGAAGATCTTAGTGAGGAAATTGATACAACCCATGAACCAACAGAGCAAACTATGAATGTATGTGGTAAAAGAAAAGTAGCCAGCATGTGCACGTTATCGATAAAAATTTAGAAAGCGAGACCCTAATCTGATGCACAGAAAACGATTTATTGTTCCTCCAATCCAGCAGGCTGCAGTTCTGTGGGAGTCCGGAAAAGAAATATACTGCCTCCTAGTGGCATAAAACAAAGATCACTGGCGTGGGGAAGTGGCGAGGAGGGTAGGCCGAGCCAAGAGGAGAAAGAATTCTAAGTGCCTCCGGAGCAAAACTCTGAATTCGCCTCCGGACTCTTTGCCACAAAGAGTAATTGCGTGTGTCGTTTTGGAAAGCATTTAAGCCGCACATCTGAAACCTTTAGAGGTCTTTTATGCCTACTGGCTCAGTCATTTGACTGCTGAGAATTTGCCCTCAGGAAACAGAGAAAAGAAATGTGGATAATACTGTTCTTTGTAACATTATTTATTTATTTTATCTCTTTGATGGACCTCAGGGTAACAGCTTTAGATTAGTCGTAATCTTTAATTCATGACACGCTTTCATCACTAGTCAATGCCTGATCCTCTGTAATCTATTGTTTAAATATATTAATAGTAAAATCGATTCCTATAAACTCAGTTCCCAAATACAAGAATTGAGAAAGCAGTTCTCAAACGTGATAGCATCAAAAGGGATCCACAGATAAGTATAATTTAGATATATGACAAAGGTAGCATCGCAGATTTCTTTGAAAAGGAGAGACTGTTCAGCAAATAGGCATTAGAATGCACCCCTACCATGCACATCGCACCAGCATGAACCGCACAGAGCTTAAGATCTTTATGTCAAAAGAAAAGCATCCAGACATATAATAAAATAAAGATGAACTTTTTCCTGGCTCTTAGAGCAGGGGAAGGCTTAACGAAGAGGCATAAAGCACCAACAATTAAAAATTAATAAAATTAGAATGGCATTAGGAGGCAACCCATGTGGAGCCCCTCCTGTCTCTCAAGAGCTGTTCCTAGTCCCCATTCCTTTTCTAAATAAATTTTCCTACGTTTAACCTCCATTGTTCCTTAGAATTTATTCTTCTGCTTCCGAGAACATGCTCTCAGCCTGATACCTAGCATTTTTCCTACATCAAAAATAGTTCTAAGAAGACAGTTTAGTTGTTAAGTAGAGAAACACAACGATCTAAAATAAATAACCTAATTATGCATCTCAAGGTCCTAAAAAAGCACAAGTGGCCCAATTCTAAAATCAGTGAAAATAATAAAATCAAACAAAAATTCATGAAAAAAAGAATGGAATTTAGAAACCTGGGTTGGTCAAAGATGTCTTAAAGAAGATTGAAAAAGCAAGTTACAATATGGAAAATACATTTAGCGCACATACAACTGAAAAATGATCAGACACTTTATGTTAAGATGTATAAATCAATAACAAAAGAATAAAAAGCAATAGAAATGACAAAAGGTTGATCACAAAACCTAGAATGGCTGAAAACATCTAAAAATATGTACCTCTCTTTAGTAATAAATATAAATATAATAAATGTAAATAAAGACTATAGTGGAGAAACCATTAACACATAATCAATTGGCAAAAAAATAAGTCTGCTATTACCACATGTGTTATTAATATAATTTCTTATAAATTGCTGATGGAAGTAAAAATACTTTGATGTTATGTTTTAAAGTTGAACATGCACACACCCTATAAAAGTAAGTATAACTAAATATCATATAACAGACAAAACTTGAAGATTTAGGGATTAAAAAATAAACAATGGAACTAACACAGATTAGTATTATAGCTATAGTTAGTATTATAGTTAGTATATATTAGTATTATAGCTATATAGTATTATAGCTATGTATCTTGTATTATACAGATATATACAAATACATATGCAGACATACAATCTTTGGCCTTCTTTCTTTTCTCCTTTCCCTTATATTGCTTTTCATAGAGACACAGATATGGAACGAAATAAAGACACTTATAGCATTATGCATCATGGCACCAAATTTGTGTGTGTGTGTGTGTATGTAATTAGAAATAGGTAATATTAAGGAAATATATAACCAATAATAACAGAAAATTTAATATACCCATGTAATAACACAATGAAATATTACAAAGCCGGCCAGAACAATAGTCATTATGTTCTAAGCTATGCAACTTATCATATAAGCCAACATGTGAGATATAAAATTTGTGTTAATCAGATAAAAAATGACTTTGAAAACAGTGACACTGAAGGAAGTACATACTTTTCAATAGATTTGCATTTATGCTAAATACTGTTAAGGTAAAATTGAGTTGTTTGTAACAAGGAATGCTAAAACTCTACTTACACTATTTTAATCATCTTTATTCTTGAGGCTATATAGTATAAGGAAGTTGCATGAACTCTTCCTTTGTTAACTATATTAGCAGTCCTTAAAATAATGCTTAGCACACAGTTAGTGCTCAGTACTTTATGAGTAAATAAATAGATGCCTATTGGTAATCTTATAGAAATTACGTAGCAATAGGTATAAAAGTTTGTTGAATCACTGTATTGTTCAGATTTTTCATTGCTGGGACAAAATATGAAACACACAGTTTGAAGGAGGAGCTGTCTTACTTGCTTCATGCTATGAAATGTCTCAGGCCTTGGTTGACTGGCTCCAAGGCAAAAACGTGATGGCAAAAAGGCACAGTAGTGTAGCCAGAAGGCAGGGTCCAGGGAAGAGTGCCAGGGAGAAATACTCTTTCCAAAGGCATGGCACCAGGGACCTGCCTTCTTTAACCAGATCCCGCTTTCTGACAATATATTCAGTTATGAGCACTCATGCATTAACCCTGTTCTAAGCATAGAGCCCCATGACCAGTCACCTCTCCAACAATTAAAATTAACTAGCCCTCCAGTGTTACAAGAAAACTCTGAACTCCAAGTTAGATTTAAGCTATGATAAGCTAGCCTATATTTTAGTTCTCAGCATAATATTTATCATGGTCTGATTTTTTCAATGTATTCAATTCCTATTGAAATTATCCTAGAATGTAGAACACAGAGGAATGGAAACTAAAGCCTTCTTTTTTATTTTTCTTTCTTTTTTAACTTTTTTTTTATTTAAAGAAAAGGAAACAAAAGAATACATGGAGATTAAAAAAGGGTAGAAATAATACAAACTTACAGAAAAACAAACGTTAAGAAATTGCTGGTTGGTAAGTTACACATTGTCATCTCAGAAATAGCTGTTCATGTTATAGAATTAAAGTATTTAGAATGACATTCATAAAGTGACACTACAAACCGTTCTGCTCTATGATCGAACAAAAGCTTAGTAATATGGTTATCAGTCCTACACATTTGTTTTACTTCTCAAAGAGGGTAAGATTAAACATATCAAAACAGAACAAAGCAGTTAAAAAAACAATTTAAAGAAATACAGATTTCGCAGCGAGCCCACTGGAAATCTTCATTGTCTATCTAACTGTCTCTAGTTTCTTACAAATAGTTGTCCCCATCTTCACCCACTTTATATACTTATTGCATATTATAGAACTAATCAAATCATTGGAGGCTTTTTAGGTCCTCAAGTTCCAAATTAGGGAAGACAATAGTAACTACCATCGCATCTCTCATTCTCTTTGTGATAGCTGTCCCCATCTCTACATATGCTGAAATTGAACTCAAGAAACCAGTCCAATGTCATTCTAATCAGCGAACAATAGTATTGCTAGAATTTCTATCATAATGCTACAAAATTAGCCTCGGGTTTCTTAGCGTCTCTTCCTCAGAGTATCTGTTCATTACATCTTGCATTATATAATCTGGGAACTAAAGCCTTCTTATCTCTTGCTTACTGCAGTATCCTGTGCCCTGTAACAATAACAGGCATGTTGTCAGTGCTCAACAAGTATTTGCTGACTGATTGATGGGAGAAGTATATATGGGCTATGACAAAGAAGAAAACCCTAGATGCACACAGACAAAGTCAAAAGAAGTGATTTAATTGGAATTTTAACTTCTTTTGTCATTTAAATGGTATATTATAATATCATCTGTGAAAGAGAGGTGTACAAGGTAGGAGGAGCAAGGAGTCCTTGTCATCCTCTACATCAGCATGAAACATAGAAGTCTCCCAAAGTGTGTTTTGCTCCAGAAACTGGGATACTGAATATACTGCTTGAAAATCTTGCTTTATTATTTATATAGTACATTCTTAGTCATTTCCCAGGTACATAATGAAATGAACTAGTGTGAACTTCCTACCTTCTCTGTCCTTATCCATTTGAAAACTTCATTTTCCTTAGATATCATTTTATTGTTCTTATCATTAAAATGGCTTTGGAAATAATAAAATCTGAGAGGGATTCTGAAGTCAAACAAAGAACTTTTCCGTGGCAGTGTAGGCACTCGTTTTCCCTTATGCAAGAATAAGAAGAGCTTGTTAACCAGACTATAAACTTGGAGAAAATATGCCCTGCGGTAAGTTGCTTTATTTACAATCATTCACAAAAACACATTAGGATCCAACAAGTTGAAATTGATTGCTCGCTCCCAAACCATTTCTGAAACGTGTTTCTACTTGTTAGTTTGGACCAAAACGCAACATCCAGTATTGGGTGATGCATTTGGCAAGATTCATGACAGGCCCCGGTAATGGGATTTTTTTTCCTTTCAGTGTGTTTATTTCATAGATTTATGAAATATTTAGGGACAGAAAAATAACGATAATAGCTGTTGCCAGCATTTCTAGGGCCTCTGCTATATGTGAACATATTCGGTGACATATTTGGCTCCTGCGTGCAATTCATGGAGCTCATATATATATTTGAATGCCACTGCACTGGTCTGAGTACTGCATTTAACTACATTATGTTTTCATATATTCTTTTGTCATCATTTTGCATATAAACTTGAAAAGAAATTCAAGAATATTTGGACTATAATGCTAATTCACCTTCCAACTTTCCTAAGATTTGGAACAGAAATATATATTTTATTTTAACTACTTACAAAAATGAGACTATTCAATCTATGCACCTTTATACCACATATATGGTATTACATATAGTTAATAAGTATATATAGACAGTTATACAGCTATATAATATTAGATAAAGAGATAGACAGATAGATAGATAGATAGATAGATAGATAGATAGATAGATAGATAGTAACTTCTTGGAACATGTTTTTATCCTGAAACTCAGGCGACCAAACCTTGGAGTAGAAAATTGAATCTTAATTTTTTTTCTTATTTCCCTTGCCATCAGTGTAGTCCAGTGGAGCCTAGAGCCTCAGTCAATATGCCTAAGTCAGACAAGCAGAGAATAATGTGAGTGTCTATAGCCCTTTGCTTCCAACCCATTTCATTACCCAAATCAACAAGGTCAAACTTACCATCAATACAAACACCAAGCATACTCATCTCTCTCTCTCTCTCTCTCTCTCTCTCTCTCTCTCTCTCTCTCTCTCTGTCTCTCTCTCTCTCACACACACACACACACACACTGAGTGCTCCTTACTGACCTCAAAAGAGGACTTCATTCTGTTCTTTGACCATGAGTTCTTTATCCTTTCAAAACTTACATACCCTTCCACTTACATCTTACCAATGGGTCTATCTCTTACTCTGCCTGTGTCCTGGATGGTGCGGTCTAGCTTCTTGAGAGCTAAGCCCAATGATTTCATAGCAACCCTTGTATTTTCATTACTCAGGAGGAGAGGCCACAGTTGAGAGATCGGAGTACCATCATCCTTTTGTGGTTGGGAAGAGTGCAAGGGCCCCATCCATAGACTGGGTGACAACACTAACAATGAGCAAAGGAGCTAGCACCAGTGTACACATTTAGCAGCAGGTGTGGTGCTGTCTCTGTACGTATTCTCCTTGAAGAGGAAGACAAAGTGGGAGCTCAATATCATACAAATCCTTGTTTCTAGGCACTGTATACGTGGCAATTGTTGCCACCTTTGTCTCTGTTCTTGGACAAAATCAAGGAATTAAAGATGACTTTAAAATATTGGACAACCAAGAAATGATATATTAAAAGTCTAGGTATTGTGAAAAAAAAAACTGCTAGAATTCAACAAGAGTTCAGTTCACATCAAAGTTCTATAAGTGTAACAGAAATCACCTGTAGTTTTATCAAAAGAACTATCAAACTGCAGAGAAAGAGAACTTTGATGACTCAAAGCAGATTTTCCTGCAAAAGGAAGAGACCTCTAATGTGACATAGTATCACTGACAACTATAAACTGGCCATAGATTAATATCAAAAGAGTTTTTGGAGCTAAAGGAAATATACTGTGCTCTGAAATTGATATTTCTTTTACCATAGATGAGAATACAATTACTGTTCATCAATTTGTCTCATGGAAACACTGTTATTTATGTCTTTGTTCTTGAAGTTTCTCCTTTACATTATCTTAGTTATCTTCAAACATGTTGGATCCATCAAATGAAAGCTTCTTTTTCTTTGCTTCTCTCATGGCCAAATTTTTATCACATGTAAAACAACAAGTCTTAAATTCAAAAGTAGAAAAGTAACTTCCTATTTTTCCAATGTGGATTTTTTAAATTTAATTATACTATGTATTATATTGAAGGGAAAAGATTGTAGAAGTCTAAAAAGAATTTTTATGAAATGGTCAAATAACTGACTTAGACTGAGTTATCCTAGTTCTACAATTTGAAAGGGTTGTGCTGATTATGATGACTTGAAATCATACTGATTGTTTTGCTCAGAGAAAATCAGTATTTGGGGCTGGGGATTTAGCTCAGTGGCATAAGTGCCTGCCTGGCAAGCATGAGGTCATGAGTTTGATCCCCAGTACCGCAAAAAGAAAGAAAATCAGTATTTGCCAGAAAACATTGTATTTGGTGAAAAGTTTAATGATGTCCCCTACTACTGATTTGCACAAAATGTTTTATAATGATTCAGTGATAATAAAATAAAATATCTTTTTGTTTTAAATCCTCATTTACCTTACAGGAATTGTACTTGTTCAGCCATTTTTACTTTAGCATAAATTATTTTATCCTTTCTTGAAATCACACTTTGAAGACATACTAAATAAAAGACATCAAACTCTGAAAGTAAAAAGTCCAAAATGCCATATTTAACAGAATTCTGTAATTTTATCCAGAACCAACTGCCCTCCTCATTGTTGTCCCTTAATCCAGTCATGATGACAATTGTTTTTTAATCAGTTGTTGCTGCCAATCAAATCCCTGGGTAGTGATTTCATAATTACCATTTAGCACTAGTGTCTATTTCATCATCATTTGTAGATCTTGGTACTCTGTCTAGAAGAAAAAATTAGCCCAGAGCACATGTGCAGGGTAAGATAATTAAATTAATGAAAAGAACATTACCTTGGCCTAATTGTACTCAGTATGAGTTGTGTAGGGCAGATTGTTCTCTGAGAAATTCCCAAAAACCATCAATTTGTTCAGAAAGGCCTGTGTCACAACTTTGCCAACAACTACAGTTGCTATTGACATCTAGGTAGAAAACAAAAGGGTTTGGGATGGGCTAAGGGTTTTTTAAATGTTTGTTTTGGTTGGTTCAATTGTTTTGGTCCTGTCACACAAGGAAGCACTTAATTGAGGACCTGATACATTTTAAATAAGTGAGTATAACGTGTTTCTACAGATTGCAAACAAGCACTACTATAGGGTTTCACTTTACATTACCTTGGACATGAGCTATCAAATGCAAGTGTATGCCAAGACAAGGAACTTTCATTCCTAGAATGGAGCGAGCAATAAGCAAAACTAATTCAACTCTATATGCTGCCCCAGTTTGCTGCCATCCACTCGAGAAATACTTGCCTCTGAATGTCTCAAAGGTGCTCACTGAAGAATATGGCCTGTCACCATAGTGTTCCACGGCTCTCTACTGACACAGCTGTGTCCATAGCCAGCCGGACCACAAATACAAAATATTTTATTCCCCATGCGTGTTACGCCAAGGTCTTCAGAGTCCCACTGGGACATTTTCCTGACTAAAGCCACCTTAATACACTGGTCTTTCATTTTCTCACATTCCTTTTGGTAATTTATGGGAGGGGCTGGGAACAGCAAGAATAAATTCTGTGGTCAGTGTTTGCTTTCTGACCCTTTATTCCTGTTTCTAAGTGATTGTTTAAGCCAATTGGTACAGATAAAACAAAATACTACAGATCAAGTAATTTATAAATGAAAGAAATTTATTTTCTCATAGTTCTAGAAGGCTAGATATCAGAATTTGGTAAAAACCTTACTGTGTCCACACATAGTGGAAGGAAGACAGGCTAGGCTGAGCTCTGCCTCTTTTATCTGGGGCTCTTTAATCTCATTCATGAGGAGGAAATGCTCTCATGTCTTAGTCAGCCTTAAACATCCCACCTTTTAACGCTATGATGTTGGCAACGCCTGACTTTAAAAGTGGAACCTTCAAACTTTAGCAATAGCTATGATCATAACTTTTCCAGTTACAGACATCTGAACCACAGGTTTCCCTCAATTTTCCTCTTTTCTGGGATGAGCAAAGGCATTCTGCAGGACAGTTCAATGTTATCACTTTTAAGTACTCGTTACTATTCCCCCATAATTATTAGATCCAATTAGAATGTTCAAGAGAAAATAGATGACTAGTCATGGAGATTAACTCTTCCAATATCCTCTGCCCTTAGCAGTTTCATGGATACCCAGTGAAACATACAGCTTGTCTACCTTGGGTGCAGGCTCAACCCTTCATGGTGAGTACATGGGGAAGATTTAGACACATAGAATGCTGTGGTCCACTTTATTTGGGAACGGGTGGATAAACAGGAACTGTTAAGGAGCAATATCAGATGAGTACTTAGAAGTACATCTTACTGATGAAAATGACAATAACCACAACCAAAATTCCTCCCAAAAAAGACAGAAAAATCAAAGCCTTCTATTTTTCTCTTTCTTATTTTAAACTGAAATCTTCAGATAACATTTTCTGGCCAGCTATGTCCCTGAAAAAAAATGTCTTTCAATTTTTAATTTTCCAGTGGATATGGAATGATCATTCAACATAGATTTGTGAGGAATTTCTATTGATCTTATAAACATATTGGTATGGATAAATCAGTATTTTGATCAGCTGAATCCTCGTTATCCTGAAACAAAACAAATAGGGCTTCCTGTTTCCATGACCTCATTTATGGTATTTTGCCATACCACTTAAATGTCTCATGTAGATTCTTTAGGAGAAATTTTTTATTATTTGGAACCGTTCAGCTTTTCTTAGACCAATAAGAAATTTGACTCGCTTGGTAGCTATTAGACAAATTCCAGGATCCTAACCTTGTTTTAAATTGGTCCTTAATAAGCTTTACACATAATATTTTAGGGACAGGCAGGCCATTTAAATTAAGCATTTCTCAGTAGTGCGTGTAACTCAATCATGATTTTATACCACTTGATCAGGTTGAGATGGCTATTAACATCAATTAAGATATTCCCTTTTACATCCCTAGATGATGTCTTCACCAGCACAATAGGAGACATTTCAGAAATTCTCACAACTGCTAATAGATTGACTAAAAATAATACCATTCATATCACTGGTGAGTCATTTGCCACGTCTCTTTGGATTCTGTTTTTTGGCCACTTAGCAAATATTTGTTGAATATTTTGCCAGTTGTTGGGTATATAGTAATGACACTGGGCTCCTGAAGCTTATAATCTCCTGGAGATGAGATATAGTAAGTAAATAATCATACAGTGAATTTGCCACAAGTACTATGATATGATGTCACCATCTAACAAAAATTCCTAATTTTACCCAAAACAGGAATACTCAGAGGATGTATTTAAATTAAAATCTGAACAATAAAAAAGAATTAGGCAGATGAAAGGCATCTAGAGGACTAGAAGCGTAGTTCATGGCAGAGTACTTGCTAGCATGCATGAGGTCTTGGATTCAGACTCCAGCACTAAAAGAAAAGCAAGAATCAGTTAAAGTCTGTAAAAATATAGTATAAGACAGGAAAGAGATTGATGGAACAAAGAGTATTTCTGTAGTTCAACTAACAAAATGTTGTCAGTTTAAAATTAGGCCTTTATTTTACATCACAAGAGACCAAGGGATTCAGCTATGTTAGAACCATCCCAGTGCAGCTCCCTGGCACAACTAACCCTCACTTCCACATTGTATGTGGCAGGGGGTCTTTCACTTGACTGATGAAATCTCCACCTGGAGATCCACAAGGTCTTTTATATAAAAGGTCATATAGAATTCAGATTACTGAAGCATCATCCCCGAACATTATGGCAGCGGAGCCTCAAATTAAGGAGCTACCATTATCTTTAAGAATGTTGATGTCCTGAAGAAGTACTTAGTTTAGAGACAGGGCAAAACTAGAGTATGATTCTCCACTAAAATATTCTGAGGTAAGGGTCTCATCTATATTTGGAACATAATTTGTAGGCATTGATGTGATACCCATTAAAACCCTTTGTACTTTGATTTCTCTATTTTTCCTTTTTCAAGGCAAAATAATACATCTCACCATCTTACCAGTGTACAGCCTAGTAAAGAGATTGATTTGAGCAGAACTTCCTTCATTCCTGAACTTAAAGCCTACACAATTGTTCTTTTTGTGGTCAGCACATTAGTGCTTCGCATTGTGGACTTTTTACTCAGCTTGTAGAAAATGCACCACATGATGATGTATTGTAGACTATGTGAGCTTCCAATGTACCCTCACGGTACCCTTCGACAAGACTGAGGTTGAGTACATAGAAAGATCTCAGATCTACGGGTACTTAGTGTATGAAAAGGAAAATCTTCAGCACTGATACTCAGTGCTAAAATGATAATATGTATGACTGAAGCCAAAATTCTGTATGATGGGAAATACATAGTAACGAGTATTTTAAATTCAATTCTTTGACCTCGAATTTTTAGAGGCCTTGCTGTATAAAAATCAGTAATAAAAACTGAGCAATATACCTATAGACAGTTTACTATCTTGAAAAAACAATGAGCAAAGCCAATATATATATAACTTTTTACTCAAATGATCTGCTTAATATAAATATCTAAATATACACTGCATCTATAATTTATAGGAAATTTCATTGCAGTGTTACTAGAAATAACAAAAGCTTGAAATAATTTAACCACTAATATTATGAAATCAATTAAACAAACTATGGTACAGGGACTTTGTAGAATTAATCTCTTTTTTAAAATGCAATACATCTATTTGCTTCTTGGATAATTTTCTAAGAAATTTTTTAAAAGGTGTTAGGGACAGAGTATTGTATGCACCATTTGTAATAAAGGGATATATATTCATAATAGACATGCATGCTTATATAGTATAGAAAATTGTTGCTAGGATACATAATTAATTATTAAATTATTGTCTCTTTTGTAAAAACTCATAGGTATACCTTCACCTTCAAACTATGATCATAGTCAATGAACATCCGCATGACCCTTTGTGAAGAAAATGTGTTTGAAATAGGGTTTGATTTTCCTTTGTGTGGTACTAAGCATGAAACTGGGGCCGTGGGCACGTTAAATAAATGTACTACCACTGAGCCATACTCTCAACCTTAGAGAAATAATTTATTCCCTTGTTCCAGATACCAAAATTTGGCACTAACATTCATCTCCCTTTATGCCCTCTTCGGATGCTATAGTTACTAAGTCCAAAAAGTCCAAAGATGGAATGTCATGGCCAGTAATTGTAGCAGCTCTGCTCTCTTTCTGCGTGGTACTACTTGGATTTGGAGTAAGAAAATGGTGTCAGTATCAAAGAGAAATGTGAGTACAGTGCTGAATTATGTAGGAACTAATCATTTTCACTGCACAATATTTTCATAACCCAAAATGCAGTTACCATACAGAGTGATCTTGGTACCAGGAACCGAACGCACTGCCCCACACTGGCCAGGCAGGTGCTGTGCAGCTGAGCTATGTTCCCGGCCCTACCTCTCACATTTTAATTAGCACAGAAACTCTGGGAGGCTATATAGTTTCCCAGCATTGAACCAGGCCGTACTAAAATGCACAGCGTTGACTCAGAAGCCCTCTTTACTTTGGTTTGCTCATATAGTAACGTTTATCAGATGGAACAAGCCATTGGGAGCCGAGCCTCAACTCACCTCACCTCAAACTAAAACTGACTTGTCTTTTAATCTTGATTATTTTTCCATTTTCATGAATCTTTGAACTGCTTGGGTTCAGCTGGAGCCAGATGCACAGGTGTGAAATTGAGTGAGAAAGGTAATTTTAAGAGCTGTCCAGCTGTTTTTTATCACAGTGGGCTGTTACTGCTCCTTTCCTTTCTCGCCATGGGGAAAATAAAGTTGCTCGGGTTTCCCCTTTTCTGTTGTATTGAAACATTTTCCAAAACTGTGCTCCACGGAACAGTCTGAAGTGGCGTGAAGGTTAAGCCTCTCTTTTCTGACTCAGCTGTTTTAGATGAGTCTGGATTAGGCGGCGATTACAGGAGGCCCCAGAAGCCACAGAGCTGATCTCCCTGTGCTGAGCATGGCTGTCTCAAACCACACTCGCCCCTGCGACATCCTCCTGGGCTTCTCGCAAAGCACTTTCAAAGGCTCTGTAACCAAACACAGGGAATGTTTGGTGGGGAATAAAACACTAACAGTTTAAAATTCTAGGTTATCTATAACCTAGGTTATCCTACATTGGTCACTCTATGAATTTAAGAAACAGTTTCGCTGAAAATAGTACAAGATTCATACAATTGCAATGGCCTTTGGGATATTATTTGCATTAAAACATCCAAAAAACAGGTAATTAAGGACTATGTGATCTTTAAGTTAAATGAACAAATAGAATTCTGAAAATCAGAATTGATTTTTTAATTGTTCTCTATTTAAGTATCTATATTACATGGATCTCAATCTTCCCCTATCCCCCCATCTCTCTAAGATGCTATGGATTTCCAGGATGGCATGAAAGTTGTCAGAGTCATGAACATAAATATGCTGAAGCATATGTTTCTATTTTCTGCTATTGAAATAGCTGGTGCATTTGTACAGCTAAGTCATACACTAACCTGGATGACTGATGCATTTCAGGCAAAGAAATAGCACCTTGTACAGGGAGAACCTTCAAAACATTTGTGATCTGAAAGGAATTTGGCATTAACCAACCAGTACCAACCAACTCAGGGCTTCAGAAGAGCCCTGCTTCCCACCTCTGCCAGATCCCACAGTTTATATGAATGTGTGAGAACAGCCTGGGGATAGGATGGCAAAGGGCCTTTTTGAAGTACTTTAGTCATAAGTCTCTGACTTCTAAGACTCTTTATCTTGGAAGATTCTTTCAAATCATAAGAGAAAAACTTCCTTTACTAATTAGGAGGCAGCTGTCATGCAGAGTGTAGGTCTTGGTTAAAAGACTTCAACTGATCTGATTCTCTTGAGTAAATTTCTTAAGACCTCTGAGCCTCAATTTTATGTACAGAATGGTAAAATAATACCAAACTCTTAGATACACAATAAATGATAGTAGACTATACTTGTTTGGCCAAGTATAAAATTCTATATAAACATTAATTAATTCAATGATTGTAGTGTGCAATCCTTGTTAGTCTTGCCAGTAGTGACGGGTAGCACTAACAAGGACAAAAGGAAGACCGTGAAATTTTGAGGGAACTAAAAAGGTGCATATTGCTGGGCATGTGGCTCATGCTTGTCATCTCTATATTCTGGGAGGCTGAGGCAAGTTGTAGCCCATCCTAGGCAACTTGCAATTTAGCTAAAGCCTTGGACTCAAAACCCAGCACTGGTTGGGAAAAACGTATTCTCTCTCTCTCTCTCTCTCTCTCTCTCTCTCTCTCTCTCCTTTTTTTATTTTTACAAAATGTCACCTCACATTCTTAGCATTGAAAAGTACTATTTTATTTCTAGCATGGAAAGACCCCCTCCTTTCAAGCCACCACCACCTCCAATCAAGTATACATATATTCAAGAGCCCATGGGAAGTGATCTGCCTTGTCATGAGATGGAGACACTCTAGTCCTTGGAGATTTTACCACTCAGCAGGACTCTGCTGGAATCCTAATGAAAAGGTAGACATTGTACTTGGTAATATAATCACCCTCCAGCCAAGCCTGTGCTTCAGCTGAAACTGATATCAGAACTAAATGACTTGTTTTCCAAGCAACTTTCTATTTTTCATTTGCATATGCCTGAATTTTTAAAAGAGTGGGAGGATATAGAAATGCTTTCTACAATGGAGGAAGTTTCTTACTTATGTAAAAAGTGAACTTGAGTTTGCTGTCATTAAAAAAATAACTGCAGTGTTTCTGTCTTTCATGTTAATTCTCTGATTGAGGGGAAAACAGTACTTTCAAGCATATGCTCATATCAGATCAGCTGGATATCTTTCAACATCCTAAACTATTTGCCAGAATCATACTAATCTCTGAGTTTTGTTGCATACTCTAAAAAAAATTACAAGGAGGAAAAATATGAAATTTCTAGTCAGAGTTCCAAGGAATGAGGTGCAGCCAATCTTCACCCTGAAATTCTGTTGTTTATTTTCACTGAAGAAAAACAGAGTGCTCTGGCCAAGAACCACACATCCAGACCTCTTTCACACTGCTCAGCCATCCTGGCATAAGGGCCGGGGGAGGGGGGGGCGGAATTAGACAGATAACACCCATAACCATGTAGTCTGCTAGATATAAGACCTTATCCGCCTCCAAAATTGTATACTGAGTGTTCTCATTCTCAGCGTCGCCTCTGTGTTTGTGTGGGTGTACGTGTGTGTAAGTAAATCACACTGCTGCCAAATTGTTGTAAGGAAACAGGCAGCCTAACCCAATGTAAAATTTATCTAATTCCTATTATTTTTATTTTTCAACTAGATACTTCACTCATCCAACATGCCTGATTTGATCTGTTCTAAAACAGATAAAGAGTTTTATATTTGACTAGCACTGATTAATTAAGTCTGATCCTACCATTCTTTTACAAAATAGCTCATGCAGAATGGATAGAAAATAAAAAAGAAATCTAATTAGCCAGGCCTGCTCTGTTCAGCAACAGTCTGCAAATGAATAAATCATTGATCCCCATTGAGTCCTCTGAACTCTTCCATGATCCTCGCCCTAGAGAAAATGGATGTTGCTCACAGACACAACTCTATGTGGATTCTATGTGAACTTTGGTCCCAAAAGGAAACTTTTTGTTCATTTGCAGAATACTTATCCCTGAATGCACATGAAGAACAATTTAAAATTTGTCATTTTTAGTACGATGAAGGTTTAACTCCCAGGGAAGAATAACAGTGTCTCTAAGAAGTGATGCGCTAACATCAGCACCCTCAGATAATTTATGTTTGGCCAAGGTTGAGAACTATTGAACTAGGGGAAGTCTCTGTTCAGTGATTAGAAACCTGGTTAGATACTTAGCTCTTGGGGTGTCAAGGCGGCTTCCATTGGTTCCTGCTTCCTGTTATTCATACCCTTCACAAACACTAATATAACTGATGCATCAACCAGCTGCAGGATTCAAGTAAGGTAAGTGAGCCACTTAGGGCGGGTACAAACTTGAAGCAGGTATTCACACTTAAGGTCATGCACTTACAATATGCTAAGAGTGGATGATTGCCTGGTCTCAACTTGGTATGGCCAATAAGACTGTCAAAATGGTCAGAGTATGACTTCAAAAGCTACCACTTAAAATGTCTCGAAGTTCCTTCTCAGCATGATCTGTCTTAGATCACTGGCTCTGGAGATAGTCCATTTTAATGCCACATTGATATGCAAGCAGGCTTATTGGACTGCAGTTGTCAAGGGACTGTGGCTCCCTGCTAATAACAGACATCTGTTTGTCTGCTGTGTAAGTAAGCCATCTCGAGGGCAGACCCCGCAGTCACGCCTTCTGACACCTGCAACCTCAGATGGAGCTTTTGACCATTACTTCAAGCCAGCTGAAATTTTGCTGAATTTTGGACAAAAAGATACTAAGAGAGAACGCTTACTGTCTAGCACCACCAAATTTGGTGGATCTTGTTACTTAGCAAAAGACAACCAATACAACTCAATAAATAGAAAAATAAACTGCTATTTGCCTGCCTTGCTTATCCTTTTTGTCTCATCAGTTTTCAAATAGAAACATTTGTTTCATATACGTAACTATTACTTCATGTGTATAACTGTCCTTATTTGATGCAGTTTAACCGACAATAAGAGTTGTGGCTGTATTTTGTCAGTTTATTAGGAGACACAAATATAAGCAGATGTATCACAGTAAAAAATGGCAGAGTTGGAGATACGTAGGTTGTTTCACTAATGGGAGAGACAGTCCTATAGTTAACATAAATCCATGTAATTTTCTGATCAGTCCTACAGTGTTTTTGTATTACCTTTTCTTAGAGGTATCTTATTAGATATGATTCATTCTTGCAAGTTTCAATCAGCATTTGTAAGTTCATTGCCACTTGATTAGAGTGACAAGGGATGAAGGGATGTTTCAGTGAGCAGAGGAACTTTTCATAAATCCACAAAACAGAGGCCTCCGAGGTACCACTGTGACCTTGACATTCGTCATTTAGCCAAAATGACAGTTATCACCTGCACCTCAAGTCTGTACAAATATTTTCGTGAAGCCTATCTCAAAGCAGCAGCTCTTCTCTCCTGAAGTGACCTTAGTTATGTCACATACGAGAAGCAGCCACATTAATTCCTCAGGTTTCTACATATCTTTATCACCACTTCAATTTTCACTGAAAATGAGCTGTAATGGATATCAGCTACTTTATTGCTCACTTCCAAATCACTGTGTCGAGTAACTTTGCTATTCAGGAAGAATGATTTTCTTTCTCCTTGTTTGTTTTTTATTTTTGAGACAGGGTTTCACTGTATAGCTGGCCTTGAACTCCCCATGTAGCCGACGATGGCCTCAAACTTGAGGCAATCCTTTTGCCTCAGCTCCAGAGTGCTGGGATTACAAGTGTGCAAATCAAAAATGATTTCCTTAACTCTCACCTCATAAAAGCACCTTGAATCTGGGCCTGACCATGTGACCTATTTTGAGCAAGAGAGCACAACAGGCCTGACTAACCTTAGTCTAGAAAAGTGATTGTAGTATGGATTTTCTGTTTTGCTCTCTGCCATAACATGTGATTTTAAAGGTAGTTTACTAGTACTAAAAAGGACATGATTGAAGTACACCCACTCAAGTCAATTCCAATTCAGATCGACCAACTCCCAGCTTCAAAAGATGCATAAATTAAATATTATATACCACAGAAATTCATGATTTTATTATTGTAGCAAGAATTAACCTATACACACAGATCCAGAAGTTGTCATGTGTCAAGTCCTGTGTAAGTGCCGAAGCTGAGGAATAAAATGTGGTTTAATACAAAAAGCCCTTTATTTGATCTAACATGAGTTTTGTAACTGAAGAACATATGATTGGCTTCACTAAATGAGCTTTGCATTATAGGTTTTTAAAATTATAAAACATTTGAATGGAATGAGAAAATTAAGATTATTTTACGTGTAGAGAGTTAAAAGTTCGGTTAAATTGGTTTGCCCAAGGTCAAACAATTGGAAGTGAGAGAGTAAAAATTATTTCAGTGGTATCTCTCTTTACTTAGACAAGAACTGTCCTGTGTGCACTTAAGTGAATATTGATTTTTTTAAATGCCTGCCTATTATTCACCCGCCAGCAAATTGTGACAGAAAATAAAGAAAAGTAGAAATAATTGATCTCTGGAAGTGAAATGACCCAAAAAGTGTGAAAAAATGACTACAAAAGGAAAAGAGAAAATAATCAAAACTGGAAACTATAAAGGAGGTTTGGAGAAAGTTATTAAGGCCAAAGACCATAAAAAGTGATGTTTCTCAGAGTTCCAAGCAAATAAAGAGTGTCTTGCTGATACCTTTGATACTCTGACTTAGGAGAATGAATTTGTCTTGAACTCGAAGGTTGAATCTTCAGAAATTCTGTGTTCTTTCTGAGATGAGGGCTAAAACACACAGTGTAACTGAATTTTGACAGTAACAGTCTTTGCTATGACAACCAGCTGAAGCATGAGAGTCCAGCAGAGACAGCTGCTGTTGTAAGTGAAAGTTACCACTGTTGCAGGAATGACATTAAATGTCAGAAACCAGCTGTTGTTCCCACCAGAAATACATGGCAAAGTGGTAGGAGATGGGTAGTTTATTTCTCATCTCCTGCAACGTGGCTTTATTCCTGGATTCTGTACTTAACAGCAAGGCTCCATGCTGTATTCAGGAAATCGTGATCAGGGAGCAAGAGAATGTGTGACATTAGACAAGGGCAGGGTGAGGGAACACTTTGGGAATTATTCTTGAACCTCATTGAGTGCATGAGCACATTTAGTGTCATGAGTATTGACATTAGTTGAACACAAATTAACATAAAAGTAACGATGGTGTCTAAAGCTTTCTCCCCAGTCAGCATTTCTGAATCCTTCAATGTCTTCATATTCTTTGCCTGTTCTCACGCAGATTCCTCATGCTTGCTGGAAGGCTGTGTGAGATTGTGCTCATATTAGGAGGCATAGTGAGCATAATAAAAAGGAACATCAGCAAACTCATTTGCAACTGTTGATCAGAACGTATCAACTTGAGTGGATTATAAAATCCCTAGCAGATCAGTAAAGCATACTTCTGGAGAGGTCTGGGTGAGCCATGAGAGGGTATTTTAGATGATCGCTGGCCCCTTCCTCTTTGGCACAGGTCTCTTGCCCTAGTTCCTAGTGGCCAGGAACTAAATATCTTTGCCTACCATCTTGATGTTTTTGTCTTGGAGCTAGCTACCATGGGCGGAATTCACAAAAACCACCAGCCAAATTAAACCTCTCCTTGTTTAAACTGTGGCGTCTAGTATTGTGTCTCAGTGACAGAAAAATAAATATACCATTACCACAACATAAGGAAGAGAACATAATGAATCTGTAACCAGCTGCTCTTGATAAAGTCCCCAAATCTGGACACATTTGCCTTAGTTCTGTCATATTATTTCCTACTTACTGCCCAAGGTGGACATTTCACCAAGTAAAACTAACAATATTAAAACATTCAGTTTTTACCAATAAGCACTCGTGAATGCTAGGCAGACAGCATGAAGGAGACTGAATATGCTATATTAATTCTAAGGAGGAATTTGATGATGTACTTGATAACCTAAGAACAATGTACACAAGTTAAACTCTATTCTGTGCTTTCCCTTTCCAAAACATAAACATCTGTTAATGGACAGGGAGATAAACAGGGGTTTGAGAAGTCTATAAATGTCGACCTATTTTTACAACGGGGGTTTA